AGGCCTGGCGCAATATGGTTCATGGGGTCACGAAGAGTCGGACACGACTTAACGACTAAACAACAACAACAACAAATACATTGAGTGGGAGAATTGCTTTGAGAGGCCTTCAAAGTTGATAACAAGCCCTGCAAGGCTGCCAAACTCAGGAAATCAGAACCACTTGGATTTCTGGAAAGATCTTTATTGCTGGTAGGATACCGTAACAGAATGTTGAAAGCCTATCAAAGCAATTTCCCTGGTTAACTTATATCTAGCTTAATTAAGGTGGAGTTGCTCTGAGTCTCTTTCTCATGCTTCCTCTCTTCCCTGGACTGAGGTATCACTTCAGCATTACCTGACATTATCCTTTTGGATGAAGGAACTTGAAATAATAATTACGTATTTTTAAAAACCAGTATTTGATTATAAAACTGGGTGGTAATTAGAAAAAACTGAACTAATCTTCTAGTAAATTTAACCTGGACTGACATTGAAATTCTTACCATTTAAATTGTAAAGATTGTTAAAATAATTTCAAACTAAATTGAATTAAAGCAGACTTACCTGTTACAGTTTTTGTTTTTATAGGGCTACTGGCATATTCAGAAGCCTGATTTGACTGATGTTTAATCAACGGTGTGCTTCCAACTGACATCTCATCATCTTTTTTCCTTGTGACGGGTGTCCCGAGAGAGATAGATCCAGCCTGTCAGAATCAAAAAAGGGGAGAAAAGGAAACACAATGAGTAATTCCGAATTCAAAATTAGCATGTAGGAAATGATTCTTCATATTACAGAATGTAGTTACTTCATAAGTCTTTTAAAAAAAGATTAAATTATGAAAACAAAAAGCATGCCAATACAAGTTACAGTATTAAGCACTGGAATAATGCAGTGCTTTAACACATAGATTTTAGCACACAATTGTCTCGCCTTTGTTTTTCTTGACAGTTACTGAAACTCTTTTGAAACATCACTTAAAAATAAAAAGCCATAAACATTCAGTCTTTACAAAAAACCAGTTGTATTAATTAATTTTTCAGTAGAGTTGGGAGGGCAAGTAAAATTGAATCCAGCCCTCCCTTCCTCTTCCCACCAAGCTGATTGACAAATTACTAATTTTGCTAATAGTGCTCCATGCCTGAGAACTGGATCAAAAAAATGGAAACAACTATTCATTCAGCAAATATTTCTACCACCTTTATCTGGCCAGGTATATTGCACCAAACCTGCTTTTTCATACATGCAAAAACAGATCAGGGCATAAAACAAATCTAATAAAAGAAATTCGTTTCATTCCTTAAAAAATGAAGTAGAGAATCAGATGTAGTTTACAACAAGATATTGCAGAATGGACATCTGGAATTCTCTGTTCCAGAAAGTCATCTAGCTGTAGCCTCCAAGATACTCTATTGAATTCATTGTTCTTATTTGCTTTTCTACCATCTTCCCTTCAGCTGTCAGTTAGATTCCATAGCCACAGATTATGCTTAATTCCTTCTGAGCTGTCCCTTCCACATCCTCAAAATCTGCTTTATAGAAGTATTTTTTAAAACAAATGTTTGTAATTCTGAAAACCTAGGATTTTTTAAAGTCTAATCATGCATCTCCTATTATATCATGATAGTGACACTATTTTAAATATATAAGCAACAGTGCTCATATCTGAACATTAAAAATAGTGGGAAAGATGGCATCTCTGGTCACAAGAATTTTCAACTGAATGCAGGATTTGTGTGCAGCATATAATAAACAAAAAGGGATATATCAGCATTTGGAAAGATATCCCAGAAAAAATAGCATCTACAGTATGGTTAAAGAGTTAAGAAGTGAAAAATCTCACACATTGCATATATTATTTTGTGGAAACAGTGAAAGTATCTTAACATAAAAAATAGAATTTTTGTTAATAGTATTTTATGTCTGAGAAATTTGAGATTTTAGAACTGGTGTAATGTAACAGCTGAACAAAGGACTGTTAACTAAGCATTCACCAACTGGCCTTAGGTAAACTACAATCTTATAGCCTTATCTATTTCCTGCAATATGGTGATAGTAGTTATCTTTGAGCATTTGAGAAGAAACAAGGTTCCACCAAAACAGATAAAGAAATTACAAATCTGCAGAAAGTTACATAAAGAAGAGTTATGTATTGGGGGAAGGGAATTAAAGCTGAACTAGTTACATGCTTCAGGCTACAAGAGCCCAAGACAATAGGACTATACTCAGCTCCAGTACTGAATCTAAAAGTTTAGATCATTTTTTTTTCTGAGATCAAGTGTCTGGCTCCCAATTCTATCTTCTATGTTCTATATTATTTTACATGTTATTTAAATGTATGAAATATATTTGTGGTTTGAACAACATTCCTGGATCTGAAAAGATGCAAAACTCCTGTTAAAATATGAAAGAAAATATAAATTACAGTATTCTTTTCCAAGTACAGAATACTCTATTGCCATGAGTACTACTGTGCCAAATATAAACAAAAACTGAAAACCAAACCAAATTGTCTGACTGCTTTAATGAAAAATAACATGACTTGAAACATAGCATCAACTTGTTATCGTGATAGAAACGGATCAATACTGGATACTATGCTATTTGAAGGGAAACCAAAGATTATCACAGCCAGAGAAAGATGGGAAAAATTATACCCATATATTGACCGCTGATCTGGAAAACAAACAGCTGTCTCAGTTTTGCTCACTGAACTCAAGCTTGAAGTTGATGCTGATGATACTCAATACAATTTGGCCGAGTTTTTGGTATTGCTGATTGTAAATATAAAGTAAATGAAAGATCAAACTATAAGGAAAGTGATCAAGTGTTGGGTCTGAGTCTCAAACTTGCAAGGAAATTGCAGCTGATGAACATAGAAAATGACAACTCTATTCCAGTTGGTTAATATAACTAGTCTAGTGGAAGAGAAGTTATACTTATTTACTACTTCTTTCTCTTGTAGAGTCACCTTAATAGAAGATCATGGTTTTAGAAGCTGACAAAAAACTAGGCAAAAAATTAGGGATATTCTTTCAATGATTCTAGACTTTAAGCTATTTAATCTATATATACCAATCATTAAATGTTCTTTTAAAAAGCTGTTGAACAATGGGAAAGTGAATAATTAGAATTATCTGTATTGGGGACAAAGGCAACAATTATCAGCACTACAACATTTTGATGGTCATAACGGAACTGGGAAAAGGGAAAATATATCATTCAACGCCAAGCAGACTATGGAATTGACTGTTCCTACCAGAATGCAGGACAAATAGATCATCATCATCATCATCATCATCATCATCACCACCACCACCACCATCACCATCACCATCACCATCACCATCACCATCACCACCACCACTATTGTTTGCACACAGTCTACCAGATAGTTCTGACTGGATTTGGTAGTTCTGACTATCAGATCCCTCCCAAAGATATAAGGTAGCTAAAGATCTTATCATAATATACATACTGTTCCAAGTAATGCAACCTTTTGTATTTGAATTGAAATTCTATCCATTCCTATTGTGTCCAAGTGCTCTTCCAGATCTTTTGATATGGCACTAAGCTCACCAGCCACTATTAGCACCATTATGACTTTCTTTTGCTACATTCACTCGATCTCTATTTGAAGGCCTTTATATTTCCCTATTTTTTCTAGTTCCTTCTCATTGACCTAACTCCAGCTACTATGTCAATTATCCATACTTGTACCTACAGTCATGCCTGGCTTATTATGTTTATCAGCTTGTATCTGAAAGTCCTGCAAGATCTTAACCTCTTCTTTCTTGACTGTTTTTTCAATACTGTGATTCTACCAGTGATAATTCTTATTAAAATTGCAATGAATTAAGATGATCACTTTACTGCCTTTCCAAATACTCCACTTGCACAATCCTCTTACATCCACATAGTAGGTATTCAACAGTCTCTTCCTGTTGTTTGCATAATCAACATTTACTGTCCTACTGAGTTTTCTCAATTTTAATTTTCATTATACTTAGGCAGAAAGACTGTTCTTAAGCCACTAAAATGAACCTTTCCATTTCCTTCTTTAATGTACTTTTTTTTAACCACTGCCTTTTTTTTTTCATTATTAACCTTTCCTTAGATGTTGCTAAAGTACTGGCCATGTAACAGTTTTTTTAAAAAACAGTACTGTCTTTGCATCATCAGCTGCTTGTTCTTACATATAATCTCAGTTTCAATATATTTTTTTTAACCACTGCCTTTTTTTTTTCATTATTAACCTTTCCTTAGATGTTGCTAAAGTACTGGCCATGTAACAGTTTTTTTAAAAAACAGTACTGTCTTTGCATCATCAGCTGCTTGTTCTTACATATAATCTCAGTTTCATTACTTTTCAATATACCTTATTTTATTAGGTCATTTAGTACATCTTCTTGCTTATCCTTACCCTTTTTCTTTTTCAACTGTTTGCTGCTTGCATCACCCCAGGTCCTTTTCTGCTACGGGGCAAATGTAGCCTATCAATGTCACTATGTCAGTATGGCAACTGATTTTTTTCCTCCATAATCTTTTGACTTCAATTTGTAAATCATGATTTTTTTAAAAAAATTCCCAGTTGTTTTTCATCAATTTTATCACCACATCAATGAACCATACTTTCTTCTTTTCTACAACAGTAATGTCTGCTGTGCCTACCATTTTGAAATCCCACAAAAGTTTCATCTCATTTTGCAAAACTTGTTCAAACACACAATCCCAGTGGTTTTTGCCAACAGTAAAGCCAAATTTTCTACATAAATTCCAACAGACAAGTTTTGCAAGTCAATCATGGGGTTATGTTTAATCTGAGCGACTTTACTATAGCCATAATGAGATGGTCTACATTTATCCTTAATTTTACTTAATTGGTATGTGAACGAAATTATTTGGGCTTTGAGGTAACTGTTTGTAGGGCAGAACTGTTCCCTCAGTTTCCTTTCTAAATTTCCAGATTTCATCCACCACCATGTTAGATTTTGATCTGCTTTTCCTTCAGTATCGTGCATATACTTGCCATGGAGTGGTTTGCTTTACCAGATGTTAATCCAACTTTGAATTACTTTAGTCTTGTATTCCGATTTTTTTCTTAAACTTCAGGAGGGTTTCATTGCAAACTTCCATAAGCATAGTCTATTTACTTTTCCAGATGTAATCATTCAGACTATGTTTTTCTTATTCCATAGTTTGTTTTACTTGCAACAGTCCTCTACCACCTCTACTTCTGGATACATATAATCTATGAATGTCACTGCTTCAGTGAAGTGCATGATTTATGGTCATTAATTTTGTTGTTTTTCTGATCAAGATTGTCCAGTTTGGCTTGAATCCAGTCAATTATTCCTGCAGTATATTTAATCACAGTGACTGCCCAAGTGTTTATTGCTTCAGCAATATTTCCACCATTTAGTTTAGTTTTCGTAAAAAAAAAACCTGATTGTTTGATATAACTTAAACTAGCCATGTTTTTAACTTGGTTGTGCAATTAATCAGAAGCTTCCATTAATTCCAAATATTTGTATCTTTCTTCAGGTGCTGGTGTCTAATGACATTTCCATTCATTAAGGGTAGCCCATCTTCTATAATCTTACCTTCTTTAATCACCAAATAGCACATTTGTCCAGTCCAAATTTCATTCTTGCATCTTCCTTAAATATACAGACTGTATCCAACAGAGACTCAGTTTTAGATTCT